GAAAGCAGTTTGGAGACACGTTCCCACGAAAGCCAACCCAGCAGATATAGTGTCCCGAGGATGTGATGTAGAGGAGCTTACAACGTCCATTTGGTTCAGTGGGTCTTCGTTCTTGCTAGACTCAGAAAATAATTGGCCTGTAAATAAACATTTCGAACTGCCGGCTGATGTAATGTCGATGGAGCTACGCAAATCGGCAATAGCTCTCGTTGTCAGCCCAAAGCCAAATTATGTGCTTCAGAAAATAGAGTCCTTTTCGTCGCACCTGAAGCTTCTGAGAGTGTTCGTGTGGGTTTTCCGTTTTATTCAAAGGTGCAGAAAGGTGTCGAAGACCTTTGAAAAAAGTATTTCGCCAAGAGAACTGGATTTCGCATTTGAGAAAATTGTTGAAGCTATCCAATTTCACAAGTTCAGGGACAGCATAAGTAAAATTCGGAAAAATAAACCAGAAGCAACGAATATTCAAAAGCTAAACCCTGTTCTTCAGGAAAATAAATTAGATTGGTGTTCATCGACATTTCTACGAGTAGGGGGTCGGTTATTGAATGCTCCTATCCCGTACGAAGCCAAATTCCCGTTGTTGCTGTCTATAAGTTCACAGTTCGTCGGATCCCATGTGTCATACCTGCACGTTACGAACTATCACGCTGTCACGCGAGCTCTCGTAAGTCGTCATGCTCAAGAAGTCTCCCGACGAACAGTTCGGTCGTGCATGCGCTGCTTTCGCTGCAAGCCGCAACTCTTGACGCAAATTATGGAAAACTTGCCAGCAGACTTAGCACAACGTATCGTATCCGTGGTAAGCCACCGTACAATTCGTACGTGGGCTTGCTTGATTGTTTTGCGACCAAAGCGGTCCACTTAGATGATGCGTTCTTTTTGGCGTTTCAAAGGTTCGTGACTCGTCGCGGGATTCCGGAGAAGCTGAGGTGCGACAACTCCACAAACTTCGGCGGTATCGAAACATTCGCATCAAAAAAAGGATGCGAGCTTGCGTTCATACCGCCCAGAGAACCGCACTTTGGCGGACTATAGGAGGCAGGTCTGAAGCCTGCAAAGCACCTGTTCCTTCGGACGGTAGGCCAAGGCCTCTTTACCGCGGAGAAGCTCGGAACTCTCCTCACTAGCGTGGAGGCCGTACACAACTTCAGGCCCCTCGGAGCTCTAAGTAACGACCCTAACGACGGCTAAGTTCTACCCACGGTTATCTGCCCATCGGCGGCCCTCTTCTGGCCCCGCCATCAGCGGCGCTCCCGGACCAGATCAGCCTGACCTGCTTGCATTGATGGCGAGGTGTCTCGTCTCTCAGGTACAGGTTTTGGCAGCGATGGTCCCGGGAGAACATCTCCAGCCTCCAGCAGCGGTTCAAGTGGCACCAGGGGGAGCCCAACATCGTCTTAGAAGCGCTCGGAGACAACCTTCCGCCCCAGCAGTGGAGGATAGGCCGTGTAGTAGCGGTGCACGCCGGCGCCGATAGCAAGGTTCGCGTGAGTGAGTATCGGCGAGCAGTCCACCGACTGGCCCTGTTGCCCGTTCTGGGCTGAAGGAAGTTGTCCCTTCAGGGTTGGCTGTGTTTGCGCACTTGGCACTTTTATTCAATTTGAAGTCACTAGTTGTAGGGCGAGAGCGGGAGCCACGAAGTTTATCTGGCTTTTTCCTACAAAGACCACAAGCTGAGGGGAAATAGCACAGTTTTATCGATAATCTCCAAGATTTCGGCAGAGAATCCAGATAAGTGGCTTAAGGCAGTACCACTTGCGCATCGATCAGTAAATTCTCACGTGGATGCATTAACAATGAAGTCACCATTCGAGTTAATGCTCGGCGTGTAGATGAACAATAAGCCCAGCGATCGTAAAATACAGCTTTTAGAGGAGGAGTTATATATATATACTTTGATGGGATTTTTGATGATGAAAGAATGTATCATCAGAGAAAAAGTGACGCCGCAGGAAAAATGCAGAAAAACTTTACAGAGCCGAACATTGGTATCTTTTTAATATTTACTATAAACAAAATAATAAAAACCGAGTTAAGATTAACCACTTAGCTCACATTTATATAAGTCTAATATTACATCCACCTCAACATTTTTCTCCTAAAATTGGACAAGGATAAAATGTCTAGGCTTAAATGTTGTTGCAATAATTAAATACAAATTATATTTTGGTCTCAAGGTAATGCTACCATTGGAAAGTATAGATACAACGAAGACAAGAAATTAAAAGTTATTTCATACTCTATGCTTAAAAAAAAATTGGTGTAGGAATTGGGCTTAAAAAAACCAGATTTGAACGGAAAAAAGTGAAAGTGTCAACACTGGTGCTAGAACAAAGCGATCTAAAGCGGCTGATATTGGTCATTTTTAAAAGCCGAAACTGTTATATCAACCGTCAAGCAATTTTGTTCCTTCCCAAAACCACAAAAATCAGCAACAGCACATAAAAAACCACATTGTGGCTGTGGACAAATGACAAGGTGACTGGCGGTCACAATTCAACGAGCAAAAATGTCACTTAAGATCGGAAACGGAACGGAAACTACACGGACTTTATTCTAGCTGGCAGTTTCAACAGTAACCTTATTAAGGCAAAGCTTTTCAGTGATAGGAAGGAGGACCTGGAGTTTTTGCCAGTAAACGCTTCCTTGCAGATACACTTTAGCAGCACCTGTAATACTCTAAAGTTTAAAGTTAAATAGTGGTGTTTGTTCTAAACAAGTTTGGAAAGAGCTTCAAACTTTAGACGTATGGAAGACAAAAGAATTCGTGGACGAAAACTTCGATGTTAAAAGTTAATGTAACAAGTTTGCTGACTTAAATTTACCTAAAGCCAAGTTTAGCATGTACCTGAATACTTTACCAATCTTTTCAATAACTTAAGTTTGGTTTCTGTCAACAAATGTGATGTTTTTTACTGCTCAAACCCGAATCAGACCTATATCAATCCATCCCTTCCTAGCTAAAATTTTCGAAAATCTCATGGCCTTTGCAATTTAACAGTTTCAAGAAACTAATTCGATACTGAGCCAAAAACAATTAGGGGATACTTTTTTGACCTCGCTGAACCACAGCAATAAAATAATAAATACTTAAGCTGTAGGCTTTTATTGGCTTATCAACTACCGCTGACCCATTCATCTCGAATACATAGTATTACTTTTAAAATTCTTTTTTAAGCCAATCTTGACCTATGGCTCTGAACTTAACTTAAACTACTTAGAACAGTAACAGGGGCCACTCGTATATCCACAACGCCAACAAAAAAGAAATTGATAACAGGTAAGTTATATATAAAAGCAGACTGTCAATACATCTAAAATAAACTTGCAAGAGAGTTCAATCTACCTACATCTCTGTCCAACTTGAAACATTAAATTAAATGAGATAAACAAGCAGTACATCAAATTTTGAATATCCAAAAAATGTCGATAATTAATTGATGCTAATAGCTTCATAATAGTGCTTCGAGGTGAAACATGAAACATGTCAGACATGTTAAGGCCCAAGAGTCTGGGTTTTAAAGTGTCTGGGAATTTGACGAAAAGACTGGCAGACAAAAATCATATACTCAAATCTTAAAAAAAGCATCAAAAATGAACCTGACCTGATTGTTCCTATGGCATAGGATAGGATATGTACTTCAGATCTGCAAAGTTTTCAGCAAAAGTACAACTACGCGAAATAGAAGTTTTACGAAATTATTGACTTCCTTGCTATGCGTCACCGATCCAGATGCATTGCGATGAACTGGATGCTCAAAATGCAATCACGCTATTATCATGAATGAATTTGCGTTAGCCTAATGCACCTGTTGTTAACGATGTGGAGAAGAAGAAACAATAATATTAGTTTCACAGTCGAAACATACCATTCACGACCCCTAATGTCCGCTTATTTTCTAAAAGAGATAATGGATTAACATGAAACAATGGCTCACTGCACAGGTTATTCATTTAATGTGAGCATCATTAATATTTTAATTAAGAAGTTGCATTAAACTGATTTACTTTGACTCGATCAAGACCACTGCGAACAGCTGCTGCATTTCCAAGCTGTGTTAACCAATTATGGTTGACATGAAATATAAGACACTTAATAGCCTCCGTTAAGTAATTAAACCCTTACAAACATATGTTGATTTGCTTTGGAAATAAATAATGCATTTTTCGCCTAATTTTCAGATCCGTCTACTTATAAAAAAGTCTTCGATTTCTTTACAAACATCTAAATAGTTTATTCCCTTGCATGACAGAAACAAAATGTTTGAAGCGTTTCTCTAAAGATCTTATCAACGACTGGTCACAAACGTCGACGGGTAGTCAATGATTTATCGAAGAAATACTGGTAATAGTTGACATCTGTGCTATGAACAGAGAAATTTTCATTGATTAATGAAAATGTGGTACGCATTTAATCATAAATATGTTGAATTTTTCATTTCGTTGAATAAATTTCAATACGTATGCAAGTATGTTTATAAAGGGTAGCGACTGTCTTCTGCATTTGTGTTTTTTGTTAAGACTTAAAAACTTTAAAATTAAAAAAAAATTATAAGTACACATTTATTTATAGATTAATTTACTTAAAAGCTTTTATAGGAATCGTAGTGATCAATTTTGTAGTCAATAAAAAATTGCATACAATTTAATCTTCCCGGGCACACTGCAAAAAATTTGATTTTTGACATTTGGTATTAGTTTGTTTTAATAGTGTCGTAGTTTTTCTATGTAGCCGATATCTTAACTTTAATAGCAAATCTACTTTGATTATATGCAACAAAAAATTCAATTAAATAACGTGACGCAGTTTCTTCGTTGTTTTAAAAAGTTACTTAAAAAAAATGATGTTAACTTTTTTTTTAAATTTACCTACAATCTACACATAAAACAAACTCATATTTCAACATATGAGTTGTTTTGGTTTTGTCTGCAGAAAAGGTCAAGCTGTACAAGCGCACACATCTTACAGCATTTGGTGAGACTTTAATGGAATCACAATTTTAATGACCGATATACGTACACAAAAACAACATCCAAAAAATGATCACTGATGCAGTTGTCGATTTCTTAGTGCACGCATGTCGACGTGTCCCTCCATTTGTAAATATCCAGGGTGTACGAGGTGATGGTAAAGCTCCAGGGGGCGTGTAACTCTTTTCATATGCGTTACGTGTGGGAAAATTAGTTTGCACTGAAAAGTCAGAAAAAAATTGTATTTTTACATGTGTAATAAAACAATTTAATGAGGTAAGAAGTAACACAAAATATACTTAACATTCCCTTCCTACACTCACTTTTTTATTGGTATCGAAAATCTTAGCCACTGTCGGCCGCAGGGGAACTCACAGTTCGGTGACGGCCCTGACGCACCCCAGATCCCCAGTCACGGTAAGACAATGTAAACGGGTACGCCCCATGACTTGGATGATTAAAGCTTGGCAAGTCGTACTTCTGCAATTACGTTTGAATCATTACCATGATGCTTTGTGTCAACCCCCGTATTTGAAAAGAGCAATTTCACGGGGAGGTCACCGCAAGGCAATGCATGAAGCAGAACACGCCGAAAAAAAAGAAAGAGTCTTTGGTAAAGTAGAGGACAATTAAAACTCAAGACCGCCAAGATGCTGTATTTGCGCCTCGGAGAGAAGAAAAGAACTTAATATTTTCCCTGGGTAACAATCGGCCCAAGCGGTGCCAGGAAAATTAAGGCATACAAATTTTACAAACAAACATGCATAAATGCCGATGATCTGCTGGCTAATATGTTATGTATTCATGCAGACTTTTCAAAGCAAGCTCAAAGATACAGAAGAACCAGCCAAGCAAGTGGAAGGAAATCTTATAATGTCGGGAGACTTTATCTTAATAGCGGAAGACTGGGGGATTGCATTAACCAGCTCTAGAGGAAGAAGATGCCTAGACGAAGCGGTCAGACTTGTATTGGTCATGGCAAATACATGCTCAACTCCGACATTTAGACGAATAGGGAGGGAAGGCACAATTACAGACATACGAGAATTTAAAAAAAATTAGAAAATAGAAAAGTTACATTTAAAAAACAAAATGTTATATATTTTAATTGTTTCCATGGGAGTTGTATGATATAGTCGTCCGATTTTGATGAAATTTAAACCGTAGTTCTGAAATAATTAACCATTAGTATATGTCGAAGAATTAAAAAAAAAAATTAGAAAACAGCAAAGTCTTTTTTTTTTTTTCTGTTTTTTTCGACTGTTCCTATGGGAGCTATATGTTATAGTCGTCCGATCCGGCTCGTTCCGACTTATATACTATGCAGAGAGCTTTAAAACTGAAAAACTGGTTTGCGTAGAAAAGGGCGGTCAGACGGATGATGCTGATCAAAAATATATGTATCTTGCAGAACGCGAAATTAACCAATTTACAAATAGAGTTAGCCAAAATAAGCGGGAATGAAATATAACACGGCTAACCAAGCCAGGCCAGACAAGCGATCACAATAAATTTTTTAATTTTAATTTAATTTGATTTGTTTTCTTTAATCCAGTGCTACAGGCTAGGTCAAGCCTATAAGTTATGGCATCAGTCACTTTGGGTAGAATTCGTTTAACATAAATGATTTTATCTTACATACTAACATTATAAAATCTTAAACAAAAACATACACAAGAAAACGGACAAAAAATTGTGGATTGACTGAAATTATCACATTAAAATTTAAAGTTAAAGATGAATGCCTCTAAGGTAAGAAATTAAAATCTATTTTTGAATTTTGTTTGATTTTTAATGTTTTTTAAATTGTTTGTTTGTTTGGATAAAGAAGTGTTTCCCAGCCGATCCTAATTGTAGTCGTTTGCAAATAATATTATTTCTTCTAGCGGACATTTGCAAGAACTCCTTCAGGTATTGTAACTCCTTCCAGGTCATTAGTTTGTGTAAAAATAAGAGAGTTCTTAGCTTAATCCAGAACTCAAAACATAGCTCGAAAATTTTTAGGGAGTAAACTGTAACATGCTCTGTGCGATCTAGGTTAAAAATATTGAGTTTAACGCAGCTCGCCACTTGCGCATCTTGGCTGCGTCAGAGGATGCAAAAATTTCAAGGCCGTTAAATAGAGTTGGTATTACACAGGTTTTGGCTACTGACATTCTGATATTCTGTGGAATAAGATTCTGGGTTAATGACAGCTGCCTTAGTATAGCATAAGTTTTTCCCGAGTTCTTAGCAATTTGTCCATCCCATGTCAACGTGGAGTTAAACTCTATGCCGAGATGTGTGGCCCTTTCAACGTAATTAATAGCGATATTGTTAACATTGACTTTAGGGTGCAAACTTAAGTTTATAGATCTTTTATAAATAAATAGGCATTTTGTTTTACTAGGATTTAAGTGCAGCCCGTTTGAATCCGCCCACTTACTTTATTTTTTGGATTTTATAGTTGCTAAATCTAATTCATTCATTAATTTTGCTTGAGGGACGACTTACATAAAGCTAAGCTCTGCATAAAGGAGTACATCACAGTCAGAAAAACATTTAGGAAGATCATTCACATATAACGAAAAACGCAATGGGCCTCAGACTGATCCTTGTGGAACCCCCTGAGGGAGGGGCAAGAGATCAGATTTCAGACTCCCCGAAACAACTACCCGCAGTCTGTTTGTAAGATAAGTTTGGTAAGCTTTATTGCACAAGGACAAAAATTATAAAGCTTTCGCAGTTTGGTACAAAGAATCACAAGGTCAATAGAGTCAAAATCATTGCTAGGGTCAAGAAGGGTTTAAAAATCACATTACTTTTATCAATCTGTTGGCGTATATCTTTAGAAATCTTCAAGATAGCAGAAGTACAGCTTCAGTTCTTTTTGAGTCCAGATTGCTTGTTGCTGAGGATAAGGTTGTTTTCCAGGTATGACTGAATTTGCTGGGCAACTAGGGGTTCAAATGACTTGGGCAGAAATGGAAGGATAAAGATGGTTCGGAAATCATTTTTAGTTTTAGGAATCGGGAGTAAATTTGTCATTGTTTCACTCTTCGGCGAACGAAGATGTGGTTATATGGAGATATGGAGAATTAACTTTGGTATCAATATTTTTACAAATATGGGGCTTACGTTGTCTAGACCTTCTGCATTGGATTCTACACTTAGCATAAAGCTAAAAATATTATTACAGATGGTTGTCGAGCTCAGGTACATATTATTTCGAGCAAACTTCTCATTTCTCAATGAAAAGCACCCACATCTAGGTCTGACGAAGAAGATCTCGGAGATAGAATAAGCTCTCTCTCTCTTTATTCTCGAGCCTTTGTTCTTAGTTTTACTTTATGCATATGCGTACCCTGACTACTTGCTTGCAGACGACGAGAGAGTGCGGTTGTGAAAAATAAAAATTAACTAAAACGACAATTAAAGTGTTTTTAATTTTTGTATTTCGTGGAGTTTGTATAAATATATTTATAAATTCCATAGGCTATGGGCCCAGTCACATTTTGCAGTTAAGTGCTATAGTAAAATGCTTTACTTGCTAACGCATAATAAGAGGGAAATATAAAAAAAATGAAACAATAACAACTTATATCAAAACTGAACAAAACAATTTTTATTAAAATACGTGCGTGGTGTATGCGACTGCGAAAGGACTAGTTAGTCAACAGTTCTGGGAAAACATTGGATTAAAGTAACGAAAAATGTTAACTGGCCATTTGAAGGTATATGTATGTATAATGTATTTAAATAGTAAAGTTTATACATCTAGAATTTTAAATGATTCAGAATATCGTTATTATTATATTATTATGATTCTAGGAAAATTCTTAGAAATTAAACGAAATAGCTTGTTTGAAGATTTTGAACGTACAGCTAAATAAAAACGAAATATGTGAGGCGTGTATTAACGGAAAGTAACATAGGCTAAAATTTGAAAAATCTAAAAACAAAGAAAATATTGACATTGTTCGTAGTTCATTCTGATGTATGTGGTCCGAATATGCCCTCAACTATTGATAATAAAAACTACTATGTAGTATTTATTGATCAGTTCACAAATAACTGTGTTACTGTAGTATGCACACATATTGAATACCCACTGTACTAAGAGTACTTAAAGGGTACACATTGTAACACTTTGTTGCAGTGTTTACATAATCAAAATGTCCCGGTTATAAACCCAAGTGTCCGAAATATGAACCGATCGCTATGCCTTGGACTACACACCGAAAGTGCTAGCGTCGGCATAATTGTAACACGAACGGACCTCATGTGCAATATACCGCGCGCCCGCTTAAGAGAGCATAGCCTATATACTTAAGCATATACACAGCCGTCTCTCTGCCGCCGTCTGTGGGCAGCGCAGCGACGAGACTTAGTCTTACTTAGAATTAAAAGAATAATGTAAAAATCAGAAAACATATAAACGTTGGAGCGGCACCATTGCTGCTTCTACAAAACAAAGAATCAAATTTAAAATCTAAAAAAACTTGATGTTTCAATTGTGTTCAAAGTGGATACTTCATGGCGACCGTGACATGGTCCTAGAGGACCTGAATCATAGGAGAAAAGAAGCTGACCATTACCAGGAAAAGTGGCAAATAGGAAGTGGCAGTCCGTCAACATTCCACAAGTGTGAGAGGCAATCCGCCCCTTACACTAAAGCGGAAAATTGGTAAACGGGCAATGGGCAAACGCGGAGGCCAGAAAAACAAGATAAAGAATAGCTCACATTAAGTGACTATTATACACAAATACGCCGCCCACATGGGCAACAGCAGCAAAATTAACTGCTAAACTTGATTTTTTAAAAGGATGCCACCAGCTACGCAAACCAAATACCGCAACTCACTCAGCTGATATTAAAGTTATAAATGAAAAAATAACTAATAAACCACCATCTCCAAAGCCTTTGCCGAAGAAACCTGACGTCTGCTCGAACGACTGCCCTGGACCACCAAACACCGCAGCATGCATGAAGAAGACCAGTGCGAAGACCGGCACCGGCCCCGCCTAAGCTCATAGGCTCGGGACAACAGCAGCAGAGAACTCAACAAGCGCAAGAGACACCCCGCCACTTGCGCCTTCGAAGGAGCGTCAGCGAAGCCAAACCGGCGACGACCAGCTAACGCGGGGAACACCGAAAAAAAAACATTTTAATACCATTTGCACTGCGGTGCATAATTTTTTTAATTGCACTGCGATGCATATATTTTTTAATAATATAAT